GTACCGTCAATCCCACTAAATTTTATTTACGTCAAATACAAGGGTCTTTACTTAAATTAGTGTACCGTCAATCCCACTAAATTTTGGTTTTACGTCTTTTAAAAACACACACACACACATGATACTCTGTTTTTAATTAATGGAAGTAACATATAATGTTATTTTGTATTTTCGTTTACTTTCTAGGATGATATTAAAAGTATAAGATCTCATTTAAATCGAAGAATTTAAAATGAGTGATGAAATAGGCAAGGAAACGTTTTGAATATGCAATAAAAGTTTGAACAACAACTCTCTCGACAAACATACATCGTTTGATTTATTTTGAATGAAAGGCATATTTTATTATTACCACTAAAATACATGATGCAGTCAAATTGGGTATATTTCTTACACGGCAATTTTAATTCATTTACGTTTAAGAAACAAAAGCCGATGTATTATGATTATGAAACGTTTAATGTTTCTTTTGGATATTCGTGCAAAGCTACATAAAAGGTGGTTGTACTAATCATCTCTAATTTTTAACTGATAAACTAGAGAGAAGGCAGATAGTTAACAGCACCGACTACCAACTCTTGAGCTAGTCGTTTCGAGTATTGGGATTTAATCGTCATTCTTATAACGCACCCACGACTCTAATTTTGAAAAAACGAGGCGTAAATCATGGACCTTCGGATCCATAGTCTGGCACCCTAATTATGGGGCTACGCCCGGTCGACGTATAAATAAATTCATCGCATGGTATTGAACTGTAGGTCAGAAAAGTACACACTGAATCGAAAATAAGTTACAAGATAAGTAAATGTTTTACCCTGTATAAGTTCTGAAGTTTCAAAAAGTCTGTATTCTGTAACTTTTCGGATACAAAAGTAAAAAAAAAAAAGTAACGAAAAGAAGGAAGTGGAAAATACAATAAAAAGCTTTAGGAACTAGCAAGTTACCATTTATACGACCAAACAAAAATATCAATAAATGCAAAACTTGTTACAATAAAAGTAGAGGTTTGTTTACAGAATTTTCGCGCAGAATTACGTAACAGAAAGCATCTTGTCCACAGCACCCTCTGTCAAGTTTAGTTTAACTGGACATTGAGATTTGATCGTCATTCTTATACCGCCCACGGTCTCAAAATTTGCAGTAAGATTTTGCGGCAACGAATCTTCGGATAAATCTGGGCACGCTAATTATTAGCTACGCCCCCCTCAAAAATTAGAGGAACATTAAGAAAAATGTGAACAATAATAATCTCTACTGACAATATTTAATGTAAAGAAGTCATTGATAAGGTAAAGTTTCTTGCATTAGAAGATGTGAAACCAGTTGCTGAAACCTAGGATCCCCTCCCTTCACGCTAAATTCTTGGGGTCATTGTTGCACCACACGTGTTGTTGCGTAGACGAAGATAACGTCTGCGCCCCAGATTTAATCCCGAGGCAAACACCATAATGAACAGGTTATCAGTCATTGATAAGAATAGGTTCGGACCTATTGCGACTTAATGGTAAACTTGAGAGCTTATAACGCAAAAATTCGGGCAACAAACAAACTTTTAGCCACCTCGGTTTTCACCTATTCTCATGAAAAATTTTATTTTGAAAACAAAATATATTTAATTCTTGAAAGTTTCTCAGCTGTTTATCTAATTTTTATTCTTTAAAGAAAATGGAGACATCTCCCAAATCAAAGAAGTTCGAGTGACTCCTTGTGATAAAGAACCTTGTAAAATACCGAAGAGAAGCTCTGTGCTAATGGAGGTGGATTTCATCGCTAGTAAGTGTGGATTAAAATTATTCAAGATTCAACATACATATTAGCATATCTTTCTATTCACTACCAGCACGAAATCTCTTATTTTGATAGGCATTTTGGTTTGTATTTTGTGTTTAACTATAATATATATATATGTGTGATACCTAAGTGAATTCATGTTCTCAAAGTAAGATGATGTAATCTAGTACAAATGTTGTATAGGTAAAGAAAATAACTGAACAGTTGTTACATGGCTTTACTGAGGTAACAATTATGTGGTGTAGGTGAATATTAAATGGTTGTTTTACCCTAACATAGACCGTTGCTGAAAAGCTGAATACCACATTTAAAATCTGGTTGGGTTATAGAGCAACTTGTACTCAAGTGCTAGTGTATATTTAGATATAATATACACTAGAAAATGGGATTTAGGACTATTGATTCTGGGGAAACGTCAAGGTTGAGTGCAAATGCTTTAAACATAATCCTCTTATTTATTCCATTATGCATTTCAATATTTTATTGCATAAGATATTTCAAACGTAGATTCCAGGTTTTCTACAACCACACCTAATGTTTGGCCATATCTGATATGTATGAAAAATTTTCTCATTCCATAAACTAAGCGTTTCAGACTATGAAAGTGGGTGTATACAAATAGATTTTGGTGGACTTTTGAATGACGAGACCCAACCTTTAATCAGGGTTAGTTGCACTTGTATAAGATATATGTTCCAGGTCCCGTACTTCCCCTGGGACTTCTATCACCAATATTGCACAATATTATGACTATAAAAATGCATTATTAGGTGACACCACAAATCTTATCGTAAGAAGATTTTGATTTGGACGGCGAGGTTAATCTTCGACCTACATTCTTTCAGTCCTAAAAGTCGCAAAACGAACCTTATTGCTACTTTAGTCCATCGGGCTCTAGTTATCTGTTCAAAATCTAAACTAGATTTCGAACTGAAGACAATTAAAACTATTTTACTAGAAAAGGGTATCCAGAAAAAGTCACCAATCAAATAACTTCAAGGCAAGTTGCGAGCTTCTCAACTGACCTAAAATTTGGTCCCAACAAGTGTCCCGTTTACCTAAAACTACTATGGATTGGCAACATTTCAACAAAATTTGAAAAACAATTAAAAACGGCCATTACTAAATGTTTTCCTGCAGTGAACCCCTACTGTGCTTATTCCACACGTAAGTTGTTGCCTGCAACACACAAATATGCGATACCTACCACATAGAAAAGTATGGTTATTTATGTGATTAAAATGTCGTCAGTTTCTGCTGTGTGAGATTGTTTTTGCTTCCTTACAGAAGATGAAGACCCCCATACTCAGAATTTACTGTTTTATTTGGCTCTACACAGTTTCGTTACGCAAGTATTTTTCTAACTATAAATCTATCCTGGTGACGTTGGAATAGTGAAGGATCAGTAGTAAGATAAACCTAAAATGCTGTTTTTTTTCCAGATCTTGTTTCCTGGGCAGTGGGTCGTGACAGGGAGATCTGAAATGATATATTTATGAACTGTTGTTTTAAAATCTACAATACAGTAACAGAAAAGTTTGTGTTTTAATCATTTACTGTTAAATGTAATGTTTTATCACATTTATACACCTAAATTATTTCTAAGTTCAACAGCAGTAATGTTTTAATGTCTATGTTTTACATTTCTGTGAAATCTTTACTGGTGTTTATTATGACATATTTTTATTTAGGAAGAACCTAATAACCTGGGCACTTTCGGAAGGTAGGCAGGCCTTCCAAAGCCAGTTGTGTAATTTGGTTTATTACATTGTGATTTATCCAATTTTTATCTACTTTTGTCTTTATTTTTACATACATTTTAATTCTCAGTTTCCCCTGTTGATACATTAAAATATTGAAGTTAAAATTATTGTCTTGTAAGATCCGTTCAATATCAGAGTAAACTAGAACAATTTGTATTTGGGTACAAAGCAAATAATAACAAAATAATTAAAAATTGTTAATAAAGGAATATGGGTCGTCAACAAAGTACAGAAACAAGTTGAATCAGAATGCAGAGATTATATTTTCTAGCCTACAACTAGGAACTCTAAAAAACTAAACAAACTAAGCTGGAAATAGTGTCTACATTATTTTCTCAAGCTACAAATAACTATTTTCACGATCCATATTCCCTTTTTTATATTAACAAATGTTAATTATCTTGTTTCTTAAGTTTTTTATGTTCATTTATGAGAATAAATTTATGCTACATGCGTGCATATGCATTCAGTTGAATTCAAGTTCAATGACGAGGAACCCTATTTGAGACTAATAATGCTTGGAGACGGCTTGAATGGGTATTGAAGAACAACTTTAATACAAGTTTAACATAACAGCAAATGTACAACGTTTTGACAAGGTTCTGTCATCATCAGGCACTTCTCCAAGCAGTATTCAGTTGTATGTTACATGTTTTTCAACAGTTTACTGCTGCATTGGCACCCAACCATTATTTACTGATCCAGGTGGTTTTGTGCTTGAGGTTTCGTGTAACCACGCGTTTAACAAGCGAAGTATAAAAATCAGTGGAATAAATCCCCACTGACACGAGTAGATAAATCTACTATGGTTATTGTCTACTGTTAGAAAACTCAGGGAAATAGTCACAGAATACCACCTAGAGACAAAGTAGAACAGAGAACTCTAGAAATAATGAATATTAAACATGACAGTTTCCAATTAATGCACATTAGTAAAACACTGGATGCTTTCAATGGCGGAAAGTGAAGGACTTAGAGAAATTCTTCAGGGTGAAAAAACGAAGGTGCTTGAATTAATTGTAAAACTACCCCATGACATACTCAATACTGCAATCATTACTATTGTCCAGGTTTTAGTAAAATATTCGTAGCCGTTTTTCTTTTCGTAGCGGCTTGTAAGACTACAATTAATAATAATAAGGCTATTATAAATATACTCATTGTTTACTCTAATAAAAAGAAGTGTTTCCGACTAGTATAAAGGTGCTTAAATGGCTTCTACATTTCTGTAATGCATATGATGCATATGGTGGTAGCGAAGAATAACGTAGAAAATTTTAGAGGGTGGAAATCTCGACTTTCAAAAATCAGCGTAAAAATAGCCCTACAACCGTCGCAGGAGTTTGTTTAGTAGGCGTGCATAGATTTTAGAGCAGTATACCTAGCCATTTTTGCTGTAGGTTTCGAAGAGAAACTTGGCCAGCAGCGTTGCTTTTGTTGTTTGTTATTAAGCACAAAGCTACACAAAGAGCTGTCTGTGGTCTGCCCACCACGGGTATCGAAACCCGGTTTCTAGTGGTATAAGTCCGCAAACATATCACTATGCCACTGGGGCGACGTACAGTAGCGACGAAAAAAATGATAAAATCTCTTCTTCTCTTTCAAGAATCGACAGAAAAATAGTCCTATGGTCTGCGCAGGAGTTTTTGTGGTAGGTTTAATCAGGTTTGAATAAAATATTCACATCCTTTTTTTCTGTAGGCTTCTGAAACAATGATAATAATATGAAGAATAAATAGACGAATCGGAAAATCAACTTTTTTGATATTATCAATATTCTAGTAGCGTTAGCCGTTGAGATAGAAGGTCTTGAGTGTTGTTTCAATAACGAGTCTGGTTTTTAAAATGGTTTTTGCCTGTATGTTCCACTAAATGTTTTGTAAAATTCCTGAGCGAACCCTATTAAGAACCATTATCGTGGTTCATGATATGTGAAGATGCGTGTGCAGAGCTTGACGTAACTAAAAAAAAAGAAAGTATGATAATACTTTAATATTTTCTTCTCGTTTCTACAAATACTACATTATTAGTTTCTTGAACTTTACTGTGATCGACACTAGACGTTTTCTGTGTTTTAAGGCTCTAGTTTAGAAATAAATATATTTATTTACTTGTCCTCCTATGATAATTTAACTTTTTCTTCAGATCAGAACTCCACCAAACCCAAACTTAGTATCGAAGCAAAGATAACTGATGTATATCTGCCATTTCCAAATTTAAAACCAGACGGTTGTAATGGCAAAAACCTTCAATGCCCTTTATTGAAAGGAAAGTCATACACATTTCAGTACAACTTAGAAGTTCTGCCTTACTACCCAACGGTGAGTATGAAGTATTAGTATTCGTAGCATATTGGTCATATTGACAGATCATTATAATTAAGAAGATAATTTTTAATAAGATTTTTGTGTTTTATCCAATTATCTCAATATATTTTTCAAAGGTTTGTTTTAAACACAAAATTACACAATGAGCTATCTGCGCTGTTTTCACTATGGAGTTGAACCCCTAATTTTAGTGCTATAAATCCTCATGCTTACCGATGAGTCGGCGAGAGACAATTTTTACAAATACTTAATTTTTTAGACATTGAAGTAAAATGTTCTTTAGATCTAATGGCACGCCAAATGTGCTCACGAGTGAATGAAAAGTAGATAAATATTATACCATAACATTAAGCCGTCTCCTCTTTAACCCTTATGTTTTGGTTTGATTAATGCTGGTTTATGCTTGTTTGTTTGTAGTTAAGCACAAAGGGCTCTTTGTGCTTTGCCCACCACGGGTATCGAAACCCGATTTCTAGTGTTGTAACTCCGCAGACATACCGCTGTACAACTAAGGGGGCCTGGTTTCTGCATGGAAAAAAAGCTTCAGACTGGTTCCTATATAGAGAAAAGCAAATATTTGAATTTAGTTCTGCCCTGAAACTTGTAAATGTCAGACTTTATCTTTTCAAGAGAGACTTTTAATATGCTATCTGAAAAATAAATGGTAAAAAAACTTTGTAATTGTTTAAAAGCAATAGTATTTTCAATCTCATTGGTACCTTTTGCGGTATATACGCCAAACGGCTAGAACCGAGGCCACTAAGATTCATATCTATTTTGTAAGTGCTGATCAAATAGAGAACACCCAGTTTGAAGCACCCGCCACCGATGCGAATACTCTTAACCGAATAGCGAGATTGGCTGTCACAGTTATAACGCCCCACATCTGTAAGTTTGGAGTGTGTTCAGAAGCATATCGTGACCCCTATCTTAGCCCTGTCGATACGCAGCTCGGCAGGTTAACCACTAAGGACACGACCGACCCATTTGCTCAATTAAACACGAGACCACTTACAATGAATCCAAAATTAGTGTTTTCGATTCTAGCTACCAAACTCAACTTTCTGGAAATATGAAACAATAACAGCTTTTTAGTTTCAAAACCAAATACAAATAACAAAATTTGCAAAAAAAATGAAATTAAATAATGACTTTTTAAACTGTCGGTTTTAAACCGAAACTTGTCGTAAAAACATATCACATGTAAATATTTATTCATAATGAAACGTTCGTTCATATTAAAAACCAATAAGCAGATTGTTGAATTATTTATAACTTAACTAAATAACTGTGATTTTTATTTTCAATTTAGATAACTGCCCTTGCAAAATGGAATTTGACAGGAGACGATGAAAAAGACATATTTTGCTTTTTGGCTCCAGTGAGTATCGAACCGGCGCAAAGCTGAACAAAAAAAAATAGAGAGAAAAGCATTTACTATAACATGTTTTAACACCTAAATACATAGTATAAGTATCTGTTTTCTGCAGCTATAATCAATTATCTAATAAACGAAAGCGTTTGAATCATTCACATATTTTCTTCCTCCAGTTTTACCCTTTTTATGAGTACTAGCAAAATGATCATATTTAAAATGCTGAAGGACATTATAATTTATTTTATTTTCTACCAGGTTAAACATTACAAATTTTATATCAAAATATCCTTCAATTTTATTTCACTGTGTTTAGCATGAAAGGGATTTGATGTGAAAAAAATGATTAAACAGAGCACGATGTTGCTCTCTTTCCATTTTCAAGAAATCTGGCAGAAACTAAATTCGTGACGACTTTAGTTCAGATAGGTTTGACTTATCAACGTCAATTTTGGCGTTTTTTTACAATGAAACAAAAAGCCCACATATTTAACACCATGAACCAAGGGTATTATTTTAAAATGTAACAATATTTTGCTACAGCCTCATTAAATACTGTGTGATCAACTGTTGAATACTTGTGTAAGTTTATCAGACTTTCTTGGGTAAGATCATGGTAACTCAACTATTTGTTTTATTATTTCTGATCCAAAGTTGTGTTTTAAAGACGTCTGATATATACGTGAAACTTATCCTTGCTTTATGTATTGAGACACTTTCAACAGCTTATTATAATTCCAGATGTTACATTTCTTTCATCGTTCACCAAACAAAGTAATACAATGAGTAAGTTAAAATTAACGTAATGTTGCAGATATTATACGTAAATATTTTACATTTACAAGATTAATATATGTATGTTGGTAAAAAATTCAACGCAATTTTACGAGTGTCGGTGGGAAATTTATGCATATTCTATCATTATGTATACACATTTTGACTCATGCATGTTGTTGTGTGGTATTAGATATACTGATTTCCATGCAAGTGTAGGATAGGTCCACTAATAGCACCAGAGTCAAACAGAAAATTTATCGAGTTATGTGAATTTGAAAACTTTAGAAATAAACAGACTGAACACGTTCGATATTAAGTGAAACATTTTTTATTGCAGACACAACAACAAAAGAATGCAGTGTTACTTGAATAAACATGAACACAATCTGACTCTCTGCTAGAATAATGTGAATAACTGCAGTTTTTCTCCTTTCCCTGAAGAAAACCCGTAGAAAGCCCTATATATATAAACATATAACTGACCCAAAAACTAGGTTTTGAGCTCGCATGAAACCTCGGCTTTAAATCTTTCGTTATAATGTTACCACGTGACTGATCATTTGTCCAACTAAAAAAACACCACTGTGTTTTCGCAGGAAGAAAGGGAGATTCCTGACAAGAAAAAAAAAGGAAATAGACAATGGCAGAACAGATGTACAGAACACACGTTATGTTACTGAAGCTGGTAATACACGATGTACAGAACACACGTTATGTTACTGAAGCTGGTAATACACGATGTACAGAACACATGTTATACTTGTATATCACTGAAGATGGTAGGAAAATACACGATGTACAGAACACACCTTATACTGGTATATCACCGAAGATGGTAGAAAAATACACGATGTACAGAACACACGTGATATACCAGTATAACGTGTGTTCTGTACATCGTGTATTTTCTACCATCTTCAGTGATATACCAGTATAACAATTCCCATCATCACTGTTTCGGCTTGATTTCAAGAAGATAATATTATATACGTTAACTTTCTTTTTCCAAAGAACACCAAAACACACTTCCAAACAGAAGTACAATTCAATTATGTGCACAAAAAGAACTTTTACCTTATTGAAATGCATTCCACAACACCTTAATAGAAAAAGACCCCTTGTTAATACAGTAATATAAAAATGAGGCACTACACAACACATATAATAATACAAAAAGTAAACACTTTAACAAACAAATTTCACACACAAAATGCCCTTTAATAAAGAATATAATAAGCAAGTACACACTTACAACTACTAAAAGTAAAACTGAATAAAAAATAGTGGGAAAGAAAACCAAACTCCAAAAAGGAAACACAGAGTTGGGCTATTCTCCTTAAGAGCGAAGAAACTAACGACAAAAACAAACAATAACACTCCATAAAAATAAGACCCTTTAACAACGAATTACATGCTCAGAATCGAACTTCAGCAAAGTGTAACATATTTTATCTCTTTTTTTTTTAATGAAGTCAAGTCATAGCTGTCCTTGTGTACCCAATCTAACGTTTGGCGCTGTATCGGTAGACACGGGGGACTGAGTAAGTCCCTTTCTTTTAAAACAAAAGTAAAAACGAAAAACCCAACACAAAGACTTTATTTTGACTCGTGTCTATAGTACTTATCAATTTTAGTGGAGTCAAAATTGGGATTTGTAGCTTGAGAAAATAATGTAGACGATATTTCCAGCCTAGTTTGTTTACTTTGTTTTAGAATCCCTAGTTGTAGGCTTGAAAATATAATCTTTGCATTTTGATTTAACTTGTTTCTGTACTTTTTGAAAATCCATATTCCCCTTTTTAAATTAACAATTTCTAATTATCTTGTTTGTTTGTACAAAGCTACATAATGGGCTATCTGTGCTCTGCCCACCACGGGTATCGAAACCCGGTTTCTAGCGTTGTCTAATCATCTTGTTTCTTAAGTTTTATGTCCATGTATGTGGAATAAATTTTAAGTTATATACGTGCATGTACATTCAGTTGAATGTTATTTAATAACCCAGGTGTTTTTGTGCCTGAGATTTCGTGTAAACACGTATTTAACAAGCGTCAATACACTGTCCTACCAAAAGTCATGTGACACGGGTAGTTATGAATAAAACACGTCTTTGTTCCAAAAAAATAATAACCTGTTGGCCTGCCTTTGGCCTTACTGACTGCTTCAATTGCTGGTAAAAAGCTGGTAGTATTTGCTCCACTTCTCCTTTACAGCATTAGTAAACTCCATTACTGAAGAGGGCCGTCTTGGCCTTGCCCTAATTCTGCGTTCCAGTTGATCCAAAACACTTGTAGGTTTGCCTGTGGCTGCTCGCATTTCCAAACACAGATTCTCTAGGGTCTGATGTCGAGATGAGGTAACCAGCCTTCTCAATGTGTGTCAGCTCCTGTCAGTCAGTATTTTACGCCTACCTGGTCGTTTATTGGGCTCATCGTCACCTACGGTCTTCTGTTTCTTCAGCACGTTATCAATTGTTAACCTGGGAAGGTTCAATTGTTGCACAATAGCACGTATATACATTTTCCCCAAATGACATTCAACTATCTTCCCCTCTGAAACTTTGTTAACTCTTTCCGTTTACACATTGCTTGGCGTACAACTTCAAAATGACTTCCAAGCGAACCACTGATCACCTTTATAGGCCAAAGTATTTGCACATTTCTTCGTAATACCCATTTCCATGAAATCAGAGGTGTGTCCCATGACTTATGGTAGGAGTGTACAAAGGAAGCCGCTTACTATGTCATCGCGTACATTATGTATTTATAGCCACGTAAATCAACTTTCAATGAAAAATAACCAACGTGGACATTTGCAGCGTTTCATATAGTATATCTGTCTGGGTTTTGGTACAAGATACCGAGCAAATTTTCCTGTAGGCTTGCGATGTTGTTGTTTATTATTAAGCACAAAGCTACACAAAGGGCTATCTGTGCTCTGCCCACCACGGGGATCGAAATCCGGTTTCTAGCGGTATAAGTCCGCAATCATACCGCTGGGCCACTGGGTGGCGTAGACTTGTGGGGAAAACAAGAATAATAAGAATAAAATAATACTATAATAAGCTCTCACAATTTCAGCAAAATATGAAAATCAGGAGAATAAATCACCACTGACAAGAGTAGAGAAATCTACTATGGTTATTGTCTACTGTTAGAAAACTCAGTGAAATAGTCACAGAAAACCACTTAGAGGCAAAGTAGAACAGAGAACTCTAGAAATAATGAATATTAAACATGACAGTTTCCAATTAATGTGCTATAAATTGCACAAATTATTTTCCAATTAATGCACATTAGTAAAACACTGGGTGTTTTCAATGGCGAAAAATGAATGACAGAGAAATTCTCCAGGGTGATAAAGGAAGGTGCTTGAATTAATTTTAAAACTACCCCATGACATACTGAATGCTACAGGTCCAGGTTTTAGTAAAATATTCGTATACGTTTTTTCTGTAGCAGCTTGTAAAATTACAATAAATAATAAAATAAGGCTGGTGATATTGTTATAAATATATACATTGTTTACTTTAATAAAAGGAAGCATTTCTGATTAGAATAAAACAGAGCATTTCCGACTAGTATAACGGTGCTTAAGTGGCTTCTACATTTCTGTAATGCATATGATGCATATGGTGGTAGCGAAGAATAACATAGAAAATTGTAGAGGGTGGAAATCTCGACTTTCAAGAATCAACTTAAAAATAGCCCTACAACCTCCGCAGGAGTTTATTTAGTAGCTGTGCGCAGATTTTAGCACAGTATTCCTAGCCATTTTTGTTGTAGGATCCAGTGATTGAATGGCTTCGAAGAGAAACTTGGCCAGTAACGATGAAAAAAACTGATAAAACCTCTCATTCTCTTTCAAGAATTAAGATAATAATAATAGTGCTATGCAGGAGTTGTTTTTAATAGGTTTGAATAAAATATTCATGATTATTTTTCTGTAGACTTGTGAAACAACAACAATAACGATAATATGAAGAACAAAAGGATGAATTTTGAATTTTGTCTAACAATCGAAAAAAAATCAGCTTTTTTGATATTATCAATATTTTAGCAGCCTTAGCCATTGAGGTAGAAGGTCTTGAAAGCTGTTTAAAGAACAAGTCTGCTTTTTAAGATGGCTTTTGCCTGTATGTTTTATTCAAATTTTTGTGAAATTCCTAGGCAAACCCCATTAAGAACCATTCTTGTGGTTCATGATAAAAAACTAATAATACAAAATAAGAAGGCCAAAAACACTAGCCACCTCTCGTTCACGCAAATGAAAGTGTGTAAGTAGCCAAGGACACATTGTTACACTATTATAAAAAATAATAAAAATACTAAAGTAAAAAGAGTCAAAATGTAACCACAAAATCCATTAAGTATTTATCTCCCACACACACTCACGCATACAAAAGATAAAACTTTATAATAAATAGGAAAAACACAAACCCCATAATGTACAACTTATCGCACAACAAAGTGAGTAACGCACCCACAAGACCCACAAGCAGTCGAGGTTTCGCTCACCTCACTTTAACCCCATCAGCATATTCTTCAGGGCCACTGTTATTTTGCCCAATATCGTCCGGGTCTGAGCAAAATATCACTGGGTGTCGGATAACCTCACCCGCAGGTGCTACACTTCCTCCTCACAATGAGAATGAGGATTTACCTTCTACTGCAAGTGGTCTTATTCGTAATTATACAATTCCCAAGCCTCTGTCTAACAACTACTGGTAGTACCTTTTGATTAGTGGGACTTGAACTAGTGTCTGTTTGTTTGTGGTTATCTTACCTGTCCTTGTTAG